ACCTCGAGCCGGAAGAGGCGTCTTCGAACAAGTAGCCGCCAGAACCCGCTACCGTACCCCATTGGCCACTCGTCTACCCCATCAACAAAACCCCAAGCCACGCCCATTTCCGTCGAATAAATCGATTTTATCTGATTCAATTTTTATTCGAATTATGCATTTTTCACGCGACATTTGTACAGCGACAACGAATCAAAAAAACTTTAAAAATCAAGCGAATCGAGCGTCAACAAGTGCAGTGGGCCGAAGAGAGAAGGGAAATTTCGAGAGCACAGAGAAAAAGCTGAGATCACGGGGGTGGATGGGTTTTTGGGGATAGGAATAAAAAAAACTACGGTAATGTGTATGGCTATTTCCGCTCCAACTGCTCCTTCTGGATGCGTTTCGTGACCTTCTTGATGTTGTTGAGGTAGTACTGCTTGGTGGTTGGGTGGACCTGGAATTGGAAATGGTATGAACGCATCATTAATGTGTGAATACGTGGTATTTGGGTTCCTTAACGGGATCGAGAAGGTCTTAAAGGGGTCATGATCCGGATCTGTATGCCTTTTCACGCGCCAATAAGTCATAATCGATTACGCAACGCAAGTCGTGCGTACGCGTCGCGTGTCGCGGGAGTAGCGACCCATAGGAAGCTAAAGCCTTGTCTTGACCGCTCCTTTAAAGGGGCCTAGAAGTACGAGTTTTCTGGGCTATGGGTTCCCTATTTGTTCGAATCGCCGCGCCACGCAACGCGCGTGCATCCCTTACCACCCCCTTAATGCAAAATCCACCAAAAACTTGAACCTACGGGAATGTCAAATATAACCGGACTGTTCACCAGGTCCAAGTTATGGTCCGTCGAGCAGCAGTTGATAAACTTGGTGTACCCGTCCGAGCTGCAGCCATATCCTAAACCATGACCTTTATACCGTGATTGCTAGCTCATTGCTCGCATTTTTAATAGATACGACTCCACTACATACTACGACCGACTTACCCTCATGAATATGACCGTAGACGTGGTACTTGGGCTTGACTCGCTTGACGACCGTGTTCAACAACTCGACGCAGCCCATCCGCTGCCCGTTCGCCATTAGGTCACCGTGGCCTGGAAAGGAGGTGAATCTGATGCGCTCTAGGGGATGCTGTCCCTGATCAAGGCCCCAAACCTCCATGCCCTCGCCTACGACCATACCACGTTGAAAGCACGGCATCCCGTCCGATCTGCCAAGTTAAGCAACGTTGGGCTCGGTTAGTACTTGGATCGGAGACGGCTTGGGAATCCCGAGTGTCGTAGGCTTTTTGGTGCTTTTTAGGACCCTTTTTGTGTTTTTGGAACTTTTACTAACCGAGTGGTGGTGTATGCGTGATGAGGACATCAACCCCAGTCGGGATCTGATTCCATTTTTCGAGCAGCGGAACACCGCGCGACAGGTTGAAGGCCCAGTTGTCGACGCGGGGTTGCCTAGAACCGTTTGAGCTGCTTGATCTCGATCCTACCATGGTGTTCCGTAGATGGTAATGCCGAACAGCTCGATGACCTCGTCCTGGAGGTAGAGACCGTTGGTGAGGAGCGGGCGCGGGGTGGTCATTTTTGCGGAATGGAGGGCGGAGAGGAGGGCTTGTTTCAGGGCTTCTTCTTTGGCCTCGCCGATCTCGCGTTCTGTATGGAATTGATAGAATGGACTTTGGATGATGAAATGGCAGGAAACTAACTGCATTCTAAAATCTAGAGCCTAATTTCCAAATACGGCCCCAAAAACCAACTTTGTGACTTCAGAAACGTCTCGTCAAATGTGCACTCATGATTTCCAGCGATCAGGATACGGTAGGCGTGCCGGGTATTAGCTAAAACACGGTAAAACTAGATTTTCAAATGTTCCAAACCTAGTTGCGCATTAAAATTCTTCACTTCCTTCGGCAGACCGCAAGACGTGAAATCGCCGGCCACTATCAAGACGTCGCCATCTGGAAGTACGTTTTTTAATGGGAGGGTGACAGCTTGCATACCTGGCAAATGTGGAAGTGGCTGGCCGTGCGTGCAGGAGACGCACACAAATCTGACGTGGTCGGGTCGGATTGGGGTGTCGAGCTTCATCTGTAAAAAGTTTGGATTTAGCGCAGCCAGTTTTCTCTCTATCCCTCTCTCTCTCTATCTCTCTCTCTCTCTCTCTCTCTCTCTGTGTCTCTCTCTCGCTACCTGAATTACTCGCTTCACCGGCCGTTTTGCTTTCAACATTTCCCAAGCGACCGTCGGATCTTCGGTATATTGGTGTGGCTGGATCTGAAAATTAAAAGCTTAAAAATTACTTAAATCACGGCGTTTTTAGTACCATCTCGGAACCAATCCCCGCCCCGGTTTTTAAAGGCGGCCTGACACCAAAAATCCCCATCCATTTTCGACAAAAAGCTCGTAAACAATCAGCACATTAATGGCACGCTGGGCATCGGCTTCTTGGCGCTGCTTGAGGATGAGGCTCCATTTACGCTCGGGGGTTGTCTTCTTCTCATTTGTCTGATCGGCCTCCTCATGGATGGTTGTGGCTTCAGCGAGTCTTCTAAGTGGGCGGCGCTCCTTGTTCCTGATGCTCTTCCGGCGGACCTCCTCTCGGACGAGGTCGCTCAGCGCTGAGTTACTGTAGAAGGAGCCCCGCTTCGAGAACATCTGCAGGTTGGGGTTAAAGTTGGACGAGGAAGAGAGAGAGAGAGAGAGAGAGAGAGAGAGAGAGAGATTCACAGAAATCAACACGCTACATTCCTACACCAAATTCCGAGACACCCCTAAAAACGTGCGATTCCCCCAGCTTCCTCACCCGGTCGATTAACCCCATAAATCCGAGTTCAATTAGTCGCCCCAGCACCGCCTGACTTCCCCCCAAAAACCCATAAAAACCCGTGGAAAAGACAGACTTAAGTCGAGCCAAGCTGGGCGTCCAAATAGCCCTGGGGTCATGTCCTCATGGCCTTTCGGCTGGAAGTGTTACAGCTAGCCACACAACATGGCGCCGTTTTTCCACGGATTGGCACGTAGTCCGAGGCGTTTTTAGGAATGGAACGGAAGGGGGTATCGGGTCGCAAAGGTTGGGAGGAGAGTATTTGCAGCTTTGGCTTCCGGGCGCCGTTCGGGGTTTGGAACAGTTGGGGAGAGAGAGAGAGCGAGAGAGAGAGAGAGAGAGAGAGAGAGAGAGAGAGAGAGAGAGAGAGAGAGAGAGTTCTTCAAAACCTAACAGCCTAAAAAATATAGACAAATTTTCTAGTAAAGTTTTCCGAAATAGCCGATAGACAAATGAAAAACTTTGAACATCTCCGGCAGTGATCGCCCGAGATGTCCATCTACCCCAGAGCTCTATGGCCCCCAAAAATCTGGGGGTAAAAACGGGCGATCAGTCTTTTCCGCTCGACAACCATCACCGTGACGATCAACCCTCGGGCCCTCACTCTCCCTTTCTCTCTCTCTCTCTCTCTCTCTCTCTCTCTCTCTCTCTCTCTCTCGCTCTCTCTCTCTCTCTCTCTCTGTCTCCAGCTTTTTCTCGTTCGAAAGTTGTCCAACACAACCCGGCAGAGATTGAGTCCCGACCTCGGATGGGGCTGGCTGAACAAAAATCGCGCCGGAATGCCAATGGCTGCTCAAATTACAGGAACCCTGAGTGCAGCCGGGTAATGGCCAAAGCGCAGGTTTATTTTTACAAGGGGTTGGTAAGGCGGAGTTTGGAATGACCTGCTTTGGCTTTTAGGACCTGATCGGCCAGCACGAGGAGCAAAAGTTTCTAGCCAGTTTTAACTTGTTTCTAGCTTGGCCAAATTAAAGGGCCGGTTAGGTATGCTTATGGAATTTTCGAGTATGAATTTTCGGGGGTCCTGAAAATAGTTTCTGTAACAAAACAAAGGTGCCCTTTGTAGCCTTAATGGATCGCCGAAATGGGATGCTAAGTAAAATTCAAAAGGCACCCGGCTTAGGATTAGGCTTTGGCTTCGGCCTGGTTAAGCTGAAGTTCACTCATAGGCTTGAGCTTCGGCTTCAGCATTGGGTTATGCCAAAAGTAATGTCCATTTTTCAAGATTTGCCACTTAAACTTGTAGAATATAGGAAAAATTAAGTCCATATAGAGAAGGAAGGCAATAAGCTGCATTTTAAAAAACTGAAAAGAGAAAGGCACAAAGGGGGACGAGAAAGAGGTACCACACCAATTCTAGTAGCTCCTTCTAGCACTTATTCTAACAGCTTAAAGTCGGCTTGAAAAATTCTTACGTAGTTCTTTCGGGAGCCCTGTTCTCCAAAGGCAAAAGTTAAGATTACAAAGTGCACTCCAATACAACTGAACCAATCTTGGCGTTGTTTTCAGCGGATGGAAGAATGAAGGAAAAGCATGGGCCATAGGAATCGAGCTAGAGGGTGCGAACAGCCGCCGTCGTTACCCCCAACACACACTCACATCCGAATGTTTTGTTTTGATCCGAGGCGGTCGCTACGGTACTTTTTGAGAGAGAGAGAGAGCGAGAGCGAGCGCGAGAGGGAGAGAGAGAGAGAGAGAGATTTTGACGCTGGGGCCCCGAGTGGAATATCTGAGGTCTCGATCTCCTCTTCAATAGATAGAGAATTGGAGAAAGGAATATCCATCACAGATCGGGTCAGGTGGCCCACCACCGCCCAACTCGACACACACAGTTGCCCCACCCAGCAAAGACCACAAGGTTTTCCGCGGGGGGCCCAACAAATACCTGGATGGGGGGACCCGTTAAGGGCCCAATTATATCGAAAAGTCAATATAGATAATATAAACCCTATAACAAATATTATAACGATACTTTAAGCGAAATGCCGATGTTTTCAGCCTGCCTACCGATCCGTTGAGTTTGAGCCAAAACTCTGCTTAAAAATAAAAATTTTCCAGATTTCAAGCTCACTGATCATCTGCAATGCAACAAGGGCTGTCGAACCACGCGTTTAGAATTTTGTGAAAACCGGTAAATCCTCTTGAATCGCAGGCGACGAAAGCGTTTCGAAAACTCGACATCCCGGGCATGTTTGATGGTATCGTTAAAAACGGTTTGTCTCGTCCAAACAAGGCCGCGAGGTCATAAAGATAAGGCGCGCGCTTCAGAGAACCTTTAAAAACTCCGTGGACTGCCAACAGCCGGAGAATAAACTAGGCAAAACCAATTCGATGTCGATCAGATACGACCTGTTAGTTGTTGAACATTGAAATTTTGTCAGCGACATGGAGTACAGAAAGCGATCAGCCACGAATCCAGGGTAACATGTTTATCGTGGAGGACATTGGGTAATTTGTCTTTGTCAAATTTTTTGGCGACTAGACAACTTACAGGGACGAAATTTTGTCAACCAAGTTTCAAGCTATTTCACTTTTCTTTTGCTTCTCGGTAGGATTCGGTGGGCTACGATATGGATGTGTCAAAATATGCTACGATTCCGCTATGATACGATTACACAACGAGACTATACGATAGCTCTAATTACGTTACGATACGGTACGATACGCTCTCACTAGTAAACGAAACGATACGTAAGAATACGTTACGATTCCGGTACAAAACGTTTCGATACGGTAGGATACGCCACAATACGATAAAAGTGCCAAAGAACACCTTGCGGTATGCCACGATTCCGACACGCTACTGTATTCCTAACATACCTTAACATTAGCGGTAAGGCTGGCTCGACGTTCTCGATCTTGTCTCTGGTTCATCGACATTACGGAAGCTCGACGGGCGTTGGAACGAGAGGGGAGCACTTCCTGAAAATTTCGTTGTTTCTTCTTCTCTCTCTCTCTCTCTCTCTCTCTCTCTCTCTCTCTCTCTCTCTTTTTCTCTCTCTGCTGACCTGCTCGAAGACCCCGCGCAGCATGACGGCGGCTAAAATAGACATTCTAGCTTTTGAATACGGTGGCTTACTGTCGCCATCAAAGTCGAGAATCGAGTGGTTCGAGGCTCTTCGCCGTCCATGGTACTGGAATTTAGGAGTTGTTTAGGGTAGCGCTTTTTGGGTCCGATGACACTTCCTTGGGGGTTCAAGTTACCCGGGTCAAGTTATAGCTTTCAGTCCGTTAAACTGCTCTAGAAGCAGGAGTGAGTTAAAGGGACACGCAAGTCATGTCTCCCAAATTTTTGCCAGGGATTGCCTATAGATTTTGCAAACTCGCAAAGCGCAATCTTTGCTTTAATAGCTAAATTTAAACCCCCAGATCTTCCTGGCCGCCTTGAAATTTAGCAACCCCCGGCTCACTGCCGGTTTGTTTTGTCGGGCGTCCCCTCCCTGAACGACTTCCTGGGCCCGGCCATAAATCGGCGGGGCCTTAGCGCGTTAATTGGTTGAGGATCTATTTTGGCTCCCCTTACACAATCCTTCTCTCTCTCCCCTCTCTCTCTCTCTTTCTCTCTCTCTCTCTCTCTCTCTCTCTCTCTCTCTTCTCCCGTCCATCTTGGCAACACGTGATTAATCGATGTACAAGCTCGCCGGTGGGCTTTAGATCTTTTTGTTGGGTTCAAGGTGGTGTTGCAATCCTGACTATTGCAGGTTTTCGGCTTAGGTTTAGGCTAAGGCTTAAGCACAAGCCGGGCTAGATAAATACCTGCATAACTTCCTCATCTTCGATCAAGGGTAGTAGGTTTCCTTTGGAATCTTGTCTGATTTTGTCAAGGGGTAGATTGACTTCTCGGGAGGTCCTGAACGGAGTTAATAAATTGGTGCAAAAATCGAGACAAGATTCTAGCTGGGGGGGAGGAGAGAAACAGAGAGAGAGAAAGAGAGAGAGAGAGTGAGATAGAGAGCGATAGAAAGAGAGCGAGGTAAACAGCGCGAGACATGAGAGAAATCAATACATATAGAGAAGTGAGAGCGAGAGAAAATGCGAGGGATGGAAAGAGGAAGTTTTCAACAGCGAGAGAGAAAGTGCGATAAAGAGAGGGAGATAGAGAAAGAGAGACAACAGTGAGAGAAGGAAAAACGCAAAATCCCAAAAAGTACCAAATATACGAACCAACTTTTCAAGCGAAATAAGGTATATCTTATCCCACCGTAATCGCTTTCAAAACCAGACTTACCGTCTCCCCATCGACTTGAGCATCGCCGGGCTGAGCATCGTGCACTGGAAGAGCATTTTTAGGGAAAGGCCGGGGAAGTGGAGGTACACAAGGAATGAACGAGGAAGAACAGCAGCCAAGCCACACCTTTAATCCCCCGCCCGCAATAAAATCCTAATGACCCGTAAAAAGGTGGGATTCGTCGGTGGGGGGTTCAACCGTTTGGGGCCAAGGTGTCACCACACCGACACATAATCAGAGCGGCGGGTTGGACCCCCGACCAGGTGGTCCAATTTTTTGTGTTAACCCCAGAGTAATGGGCACTGGTAATCTCTAACTCTCTCGTGTTGACTCACTCTCTCGCCCCTTAATATGCACATTTATCAGCCACAACAAAGACGCCGGGGGCTGAAGAGCTATGGGCGGGTTGATTTTTAGGGTTCAGCCATTTTGGCGAGCTCTCGGAAGTGGGTGGTGATGAAATGTTTTCGGAGAGAGAGAGAGAAAGAGAGAGAGAGAGAGAGAGAGAGAGAGAGAGAGAGAGAGAGACGATGCATTCCAATCTACAAGGAAAATACACTCAAATTTTCTAAAATCATCATCTAAGAGCCGTTCTTCTTGAAGGCACAATCCCTCTTGAAAACGGGACCATATGGCTCGCGACTAGTTTTAAAGGGGCTCTGGCAGCAGGCCCCTTTTTCCACGATTCGTGGAAGCGTCGCGGTCGGGTGCGTCGCGGCAGGGAGAGAAAGAGCGCGCCCAGAGGCGAGACGCAGACAGAACTCTGTGTCTCTGCCCGGTCCCCAAAATGCCGTAATCGGTGTGCTGCCAGAGCCGCTTTAAAGGCGCAGTGACAGCGGAGAAAAAAAGTGAAAGCATCTGAACTCCCTAGAAATCGATGCGAAAATCGAAAAACCTCGACAAACCGTAAACGTTATCGAACCGAATTAATTGAGATGGATTTCAATGCAATTTCTACGGGTTTTTGAAGCTTGCATAATGCCATAAAGTAATACTTCCGGTTTTGGTGCATCTAAAGGGTCTAGAAACTGCCAGAATCGACGCCTGCCGGAAACTCGGTCTCGACAACCATGTACAAATGATCAAAGCTGAACCAGACCCAACGAGCATGAGAGAGAATGTGACACTGAACCTATGCAGATACCAAAAACTGATGTTTTTCAAGGATTTCGCCAGCTATTTTGTAGTAATTAGCAGCTAGCTCCACCCAAAGTGAGTCCGACTCTTTCAGCGACTCAACAGATCACGATGGGGTCGATCTTTTTTGAGTGAACGCCGTGGCAAAGGAGCCACTCTCTAGCACACGTGTCCCCTCTGAAAACAGCCTCTCCCGCTCATCCCTTAGGGCCCACTATTTCGATGATTTATCCCGATAAACAAGGCACCTACCGCTCTAACTGAATGGCCAAAATATTTGGGGCAGTTTGAAAGGTGACAATCGGAGGGTGGCAAAAGCGATTTGTCAAGATGTTGGTGCCAAGATTGGAGTCTTAAAGGGACTCGGAAGCGCAAGAATCGACCTGTGCTTTCCATTAGGTCTCGACAGAAAGTGATAAGCTCAGTAAACTGACGCGGATAAGGCTTTTACGTGAAAATGCCGGAACGCAATCCGGGCAGTCGCCAAAATGTCGAAAGCTCAATTGCCGACAGCCAAAATATCGATTGCCCTCATTATCCTTAGAAAAAATCCTAAAAGCCAAATTACCAAAATACTGTTTAAAGGAAGCCGGTTTCAAGCTAGCGTCAGCGGTATGTCGACATTTTGGCCTGTCGGTATTTTGGCTCAGGGGCTTTGGATTTCGGGATTTTGATTGTCGATTCTAGTTTCGGGATTATGGCTGTCGGTATTTTGGCCGTCGGGATTGTTGCTGTCGCGATTTTGGCTTGTCGGGATTTTGCTTGTCGGGATTATCGCTAAAATTTGTGCAAATCGCTTGGCTGCCACAAAAAAAACTCTTAAAAAAGCTGTTTCCAGCGAGCTTACAATTTTTATGAGGTCGGAAATCGTCAGAGCAACGGCCAGATTTTACGACTGGGTAGATCTTGCACGGAATTTAATTCTTAGGATCGTGACATCAAAAATCGAATAGGGAAGATGAGATGTCCATTAGATGACAGCGAATAGGGACTGTTAGTGACCGGAACGAGAAGCCGGACCGGAACTCATGCGGAAAACCTACCGTTAAAAGCAGTTTTACAGCGAAAATGGGATGAAGTAAGAAAATAGTTATATCGCAAAAGGGATGACTTCCTAGATTTTAAAAGTCATTAACACCCCAAAAATATCCTGCAAGATCGGATCAATCGTTTTTGAGGCCCAAGATCAGCGGATAGCCGGCGGGTGGTGTGGTAGAGTAATGGCGTGAAGAAGTAGCGGCCGGCAAAAAACATACACGGACGGGTGGCTGTGACAAGAGAGGGACCTTACAGCCGATTAGAAAGGCCAAAGACAGGGACCCAGACATTGACTGGGGCCAAATGAGCGGAGATGAACAGAGACCCAGAACAGAGGGTGGCCTCGGGATATTGGGGGACACAACACTTTCCACCAGCCCCGCCATCCACCCTCACAATTTTGACGGGAGACCTAGGGGGTGAATGGCACGTATTGGAGTTGGGGGAGGGAAAGTTAAAGGGAACTGAAAGGCTGGTTATGGATATCGATGGCTATGGACTGGTTATGGATTTTGGCACGCCACGCCACGCACATATCGATTCAAATAATTTAGAGGTTGTAATCGATTGCGCAATAAAAGTGGTCACGTGTTCGTTTCATATTTTTGCAAAATTCGAAAGATTGAAGCTATCAGCATTGGACCTAAGGAAAATTTTCGTATAATAGCTTTTAAACAGAATATCAAAAATTTAGCTGAGTCTCATCCAGATGAGATCCTCTGTACATCCTGGATTACTCCAGGATAAAGACGGAGTCATCCGAAGAACGTTAGACTCAAAACCACTATTGTGGTCCCACCAAAATTTACAAAAAAGCCTACGACACTCGGGATTCCCAAGCCATCTTCGATCCAAGTACTAACCGAGCCCAACGTTGCTTAACTTGGCAGATCGGACTGGATGCCGTGCTTTCAACGTGGTATGGTCGTAGGCGGAAGAGGTAGGAATGGAATGTTGATGAGAGATAGCTATTCCTTGCAGTTGGAGTTTCATAGAAGAATGGAAATAATTGTCTCTCATCAGTAGCTCTGGCCCCCCTCCTCCCCGCCGCCCATACCACGTTGAAAGCACGGCATCCCGTCCGATCTGCCAAGTTAAGCAACGTTGGGCTCGGTTAGTACTTGGATCGGAGACGGCTTGGGAATCCCGAGTGTCGTAGTCTTTTTGCTGTTTTTAAAGCTTTCCTTTATGTCAGTCTTTTTATCGTCCTTTTTTAATGCCGGTATTAACATCCAGATCTCCGATCGCCCAGCCAACCTTTGAACTTGAGTGCGACCTGTCCGCCCTCGCCTCGTCTCATTTTTTTCGGTGGGTGACGGCGACAAATCTTGACGGATCGGTGTGACCCATGGTCTTCATATGCCCAGGGCCAGGGCCCAGATTCGGGTCAAAGGCTTTTGCCTGGATGGGATGGAGGGTTAGATCTTTGGGTGGGGGACAGTTGTTCTCCGCCCATTTAACCGCTCTCTCTGAAATCAGCCGATCTGGTGGCTATCAATTAGGAGTCCGGGCAGGGATCAACGGATCTTCTAATCGAGGTTTCCACACTGCCAAGTCTGAAAACAAAATTTTTAAGGGACTGTCAATGCATGGGTGAGGACCGTGGGAGCGTCAAAATCTATAACCACGGAAATCCAGAGTTATGATTTGCCGGTCCCTTTAAAACAAACCTAAGAGAAATCCTTTTTTCGGAACTCCAGTGAAGATACGTGAGATAAAAGCCCAGCCATTTTTGGCACCTCCCGAATTAACACCGCTATAAAAGTCGGGCGAGGTGATAAGTGCCGCGTAGCCAAGCTTCACACCTTTCATTGGTCTCCCCAGACGAAGCCGAACGAAATGAGGATACTTCTGGTCGTTTTGCTATTAAGCGCGCAAATTTGGGCCCAGGTTACCGTACAAACTCCGCTGGGCTCCGTTACGGTAAGCTTTAGGTAGCGAAGTTCCAATAAAATTTGACTTTTTGTCTCTTAGAATTTGAAAAATACGAAAATAACGTGACATCTCTCTCTGTCTCTCTCTCTCTCTCGCTCTCTCTCGCTTTCTCAGCTTTCATAAGGATTAATGTACATACATCCCAATCCCACTTCTCGCACGGCTGGGTGTCGACGCTTTCATGCTAGCTTTTAACCTTATTTTGGTACAATTCGTAGCTGTATGGACCTAAACCCGTTCGAAAGTAGATTTCTGCGTCCTAGCGCCTTTAAATCCGAACCAACTTCCGGTGCAGGGCATCCACGTCGACTACGGGACCAACCAATCGGCACTCTGGTACGGCCAGGCCGACATTTTCCTCGGCATCCCATTTGCCGAGCCACCAGTTGGCGATAAGAGATTTCAGGTAAGTTAATTTCTGCTTAAATATACTATTTTATTAATAGTTTCCAAGCCCCATCAGCAGCTATCCGAATGGGACTGTTAATGAGAGTGGATTCAAGTATGTGCAGAATCGCCTAAATCTGAAAAATAATCGGATTTTAGCGCGCAGTTTTTTAAATGGCATTGCGATTATTTTCAGACGATTCTAGACACGATAAAATATATCAATTTTTTTCAATCTAGGCCAGCCTGCGTTCAGCCTGACTCTGGAACTTGCTCCCCCCAAGGCGAAGACTGTCTGTATTTGAATGTGTTTACGCCCCAGGTTAATCTTTATCCCTTGCTCTCTCTCTCTCTCTCTCTCTCTCTCTCTCGCTCTTTCTCTCTCTCATCGAAAATTCAGGCGAACAGCCCGCAGAAGTACCCGGTGATGGTCTGGATCCACGGCGGATCATTTGCCGGCGGATGTGCCGCCCAGTTTCCTTACAAGGTGCCGAAAATCTAAAGATACTGGAGCTATAAACCATCCAAAAATAAAAAACTCCAGACCATTCCGGGTACTTTGCGCGCTCGGCTTCAGGGTTAGCTTTGGGCTTGGCCTGACTTAGGCCTATCGGTAATCTCAGAAAATTCAGGCTACAAGCGCCCAAAAGTACCCGGTGATGGTCTGGATTCATGGGGGTGCATTTTCACTTGGATGTGCACAGCAGTTTCCGGTTAAGGTATAGAATATATTCATATTCATAAAGAGAAGGTATCTGCTTTGAAGATTATTAAAAAGTAGAAAAGAAATAATGTTAAACGGACGGCCTAAATTGTCAGTATTTGAAGCTAATAAAGTAACCTACCTAATTCTTACAAAGAAATCTAAAACGATTAACCAATTATAAAATTTACTTACTCCCCAGCTATACTAATACAACCCTAGGGCGCCGTGCGTAACTTGGTGTCGCGCGGAGTTGTCGTCGTCACCATCCAGTACCGTCTGAACATCCCCGGCTTCTTCACCACCAGCACCGACGAGTTTCCGGCGAATCGCGGAATGCTTGATCAGGTTTAGCCGATTTTTTTACCAAAAAATAAATTATTATGTAGATCGAGGCCCTGAAATGGGTGCAAAACAACATCCAATACTTTGGCGGTAATCCATATTCGGTCACGATTTTTGGGCAGTCGGCTGGCAGCATTTCCGCTTCTGCGCATACTTATTCTCCACTTTCTAGAGGTATGAATTTTTGTAATGGAGTTTTAAGGTATCGATTTCTAGGGCTCTTCCAAAAGGCCATCTCCCAATCCGGTGCAATTTTCACGTCATTGGAGGGCTCGCTTGGGACTTTGGATTTAAGTCAGCAACGCGCTATGCAGGTAGCAAAATTAATCAAATTTATGAAAGTTATACCATTAATATTTTAGTAGCCTTTAATATACCTTTACCCTTTCAGCTGTGCAACTTCACGCAAGCCGATTGGGATGGAAAACAATGGGACAAACTGAAGACCTGTTTCGCTACCATGAATCCGGATAAATGGAGAAATATGGATGCGGTGAGTCCGATTTTTCAACGAAAACACTATTTTTAGCGACTAAAATCTCTATATTTAGTTGAGGATTATACCAATAAACGTTTAAGGGCACCCTTTTCGGGTGGCGCATGTTGCAAGACAACTATTTCCTACCGGACACCCCGGAAAATATGAACGTCGACCGGCCATTGATTCCGATTATGCTTGGCAATATGCACGATGAATTTGCCAGTACCTGTAAGTCACCTTAAGCAACTACAAAAGCGCCTTTTTAGGGTATTACCAAATGTCAGCCGGCGTCACGTTCGATACATTCTCGCGGGCGTTTGTCAAAAAGGTTTTCGACGATGTTGCGACAATTTTTGGTGCTCGGGCAGCGGATGTCTGGAACGTTATTACAAAAGTAAAATTGTGTACCTCTAAAAATTTATAGTCTTATGGTTCAGAGCAGGGTTGGTCACGCTGGATCCTAATCGGATCCGGTCCGGTCCGGGGGTCGGTCCGGTCCGGTCCGGTCCGAAATTTCCATCCGGACCGGACCTGTCCGGTCCGTGGCGGACCGAGGGGCTTTGCTTTGCTAGGAGAAACGGAAATGCAACATGCAAATTCGGAATGCAAAAGAGTGGCGTACCAAAAAATGACGCAATGTGGAATTCGCTTAATCAAAATGTATAAAACTATTCGTCCCCCATTAATTTTTGGCTATATACGCGACGGCTAGTAGCCTAGATGTGGAAAAATATGTCAAATTATTCGCGAGTAGTATTTTGCATACAAAATTTTCCATATCTGGCTCCTGAATCATGTCCCTTCGTGTTCAGACGGACCGGACCGGTCCGGTCCGAAATTATCGGATCCACTCGGACCGATCCGGACCGGACCGGACCGCGGACCGTCCGCGGACCGGATCCTTTGTGACCAACCCTGGTTCAGAGCTATCTAAAAGCTGGCGCCACTGACAGCGATTCCGTATCCTGGTTCAGAAACAGTACCACGGTATTTTATCGCGCTTCTAAGGTACAAAGCTGACCCTTAGTTCTTCACCGCGGCTTCTTTCACCCAATTAATCGTCAAAGAAATTGAACTCTGGCGGGAGCGAGGGAATCCGCAGGTGTACGTCTACCAGCAAACCTACGGATCCAAGCTGTCCCACTGGGGTCAGGGCAGTATCGTCGCACCGCGATTGGATGGGTATATACGTGAGTTAATTCAAGGGAAACGATTATTAATTTTATTATGATAGTAACAACAATCCAAGATTAATAGTAAGCGTACCCGAATCAAAGAATGCACAGATATTCACAAAAAGTCAAGCCTCGCCCGGGCCTTTAAAAACATCGAGGGGGTTAAAGAAGAAGTTTTGCTGGAATGTAGCATCGGCGCTGGTAGATGGATCGTCGGGGCGCCATTCTAAAGAGGATTTTAAAGTTATACTGGTTAACTATGTCGAAATCACGCACGCAGAAAATCCTTACCCCGAAACTTGATTACTTAAAATTTTCATCAAGCGTAAAAATTGGCCGGTCATTTGAGTTTTTGATCTTATCAGGATTGCTCAAAATTTCGATGTAATTTATTTCGGTATAAGCAAAGCTCAATTTAATCAAAACCATACCTTCAACGTATGTATCATTAGTCGGAGGGTGATAAATGCCCGTCTCCACCGGCCGAAAGCCAAGAAATACGGGGCCAGGCTCCGCGAAGGACCTAAACAAAAGTCCAGATGCGCAAGAAAATTCTACTTCAATTGCGCATTCCGAATCGTCGACGTAGCGTAAGTAATATACGCGGAAGTGGGGATCGCGCATCGACTTGACTCCGGCAAGCTTTCCAAGCATTTCGAAAAGCTTCCTTCTGCGTCAACGGTGGAGCACGGGATTCCGAGAAGTGTTTGAGCGATGGCAAACAACTAAGAGCTCTAATATTTCAGATTTACGCGATTTACCCTTGGCATCGTCAGTTGCCTGGCCGCCCAAAAGCCCTCAACGGAGCCGGAACTGTCGGACGCCGTAAATCCGCGCACACACTGGGTTCGATATAGCTCCAGCTCGCCCTAAAATATCTTTTATGATTATACTGAATTTAATAGCACCTCCAAGTCCGAAAGCACCCTCGTAGTCCCGAGTCCAAGCACTAGCAAGTCATCGTCTACGCTGGTAACCGCCTGCGGGCTTCCAGAGGTATCTAAAAATCAAAAAATTCAAGACAACTCCGACCTACTGTTGCCAAAACGCTCCAATAGTAAACGATCTGCTTCAGACCAATAGGCTGCCGGCTTCAGCTTTTGGTAGATGAATGGGTCAAAGATTGAGGCCAGCTAAAAATGTTCACATTAATTAGCTATAAGTATACCTTGCCGAGCGGGCCAAAGATAGCGTCTTCAGATTGTTTTAAGAGGTGACTCAAATCCTTCGCTGATTTGGTGTTTCTAAAGATATTTGCTTTATTGGCAACGATTTTGTAAACCTACAATATCTCCAAGCCGCGAATTCCGGCCATCCAAAGTCGAGCCCTGAGAACGAGCGAATTTTTCGGTGATGAGAACTGGAGAAGAATTGTTATTTTACGCAACTTTCATCGATGTACCTTCTGCACCATAGACTCGGCACTTTCAAGCGTTTTGACAAGATCTTTCAAAGCTTCGATTTCATCGAAGGATATTTCGGACTTACGGTCCTCACCAATCTAAATCAATTTTCCCAAAAATTCTGCGCATCAAACCTGTGCGAGGAATTTTCGCAGCATGTTGTAGCAAATTAGCCAGTGCTGCTTGCTCTCTGGCCTCGAAGTAGGGCTAAAATCAACTATAATAAAAAAGTAGAGGCGTCCGTCTGTCTGTCTGTCCGTCGTGTCCCGGATTCAACTCGAAGGGGAAAGGAGCTAGAGCTTAGCTCTCTTCGGATTCGGATAGAGCGTGGTCAGAAACCCCCAAACTGATAAAAAAATTACGAAAAAGTTTTTGTTTAAATTATTAAAATTAACTTTGAAAGTGGCGCCTTAATAAAACGAGTGGGGGCCCCTCTCCCCGGGAGGCCACGCCCCCTTTCTCTTCGCCCCTCTTCCCCAGGCCCCTTCGCGCGCCCAGATGCCTTTTTGAGTTACTTTAATACTTTTAATACTTTTTAATTATGTTAATTAATTATTTAAATTATTTAAAGTATCTAAAGCCATCAGGAAGGTATTTAGGTAGTTTTTGAAGGGGATTTCAGCCATGGGGGGTATCTGAAGCCATCGGGAAGGGATTTAGGTAGTTTTTGAAGGGGATTTCAGCCATGGGGGGGTATCTGAAGCCATCAGGGAGGTATCTAAGTAGTTTTTGAAGGGGATTTCAGCCATGGGGGATATCTGAAGCCATCAGGGAGGTATTTTGGTAGATTTTTAACGGAATTTCGACCCGGAGGGGTATCTGAAGCCATCGGGAAGGTAGCTATGTTTTTGTGGGGGGGTTGGCTAGAGGAGGTATCTGAAGCCATCAGTGTAGTTATTGCCATGAAGGCATCAGCGTAAGGTAGGGATTAAATGTGGTGGTGTAGAATATGGAGGGTGGCCCGAAGTCCAGCCGATTGCAGTCGCGAAGCGGCTGTAATCGGCTGGTAAAATAAGAATCGAGCTCCGAACCCTACCAATTTTGATGATTTTCCGGATCATCATTCCATAGGCCCAAATTGCCAACTTTGTTGATTAACCCGGAGAGCGGTTCCAACAATTTCCCAACGGCAGTGCAAAGAATCTGTACCCCGCAGATTACTCTAAAATTAATGCATTTTTGAGCCTTAAATTGTTATAATTTGCTTACCGCGTGAACGTCAAGTCATCAGCAAAAGTTGTATCTCCGTCAGTAACGATCGCACAAACCTAATTCCCTCGATATAACGTTATCAAGATAAAAATCACTACCTTTCCCACGAGACCGTGCTCTTGAATTATCCCCTGAACGACACCTTTCGTACTCTCGCCCAGATTTTGATCCAACAGACGGAGGAGCAGAACTCGGCGCTCTCCGTTTTGTAGGAAATGCGCCATAATGGCCTTTAGCGCGGAATCTAGGCAAAATTTAGTCAGAAAAATTCAGCCATTACCTTGATTAAACCGTAGCTTACCCATCGTCAATGCCACAGATTGGGCCATTGCAAGCCGATGGATCAGTTCGGGTAGTCGATCTGCGCGTACTTCTTCAGCGACCTGGTCAAGTATCTCGATGGGCGGAAGGCGAACCTAAAGTGCCTATTTCTTCTCAAATAAGTCAAAATTGATTGTATATGGAATCCCGAACCAATTCAAAGAATTAAGCCATCCATTTCGAACGTCTAGATATCAAAACGAACCCCATTCTGCATTGCCCAGGTTTGAAAAAACTGGTTTTCCAAGAAAGCATCCGGCATCACGTTAATCGACGCCAAGCCCATCCACAGTTGTTGATCAGAATAGCTGGGGGCAGCTCGAGGGATGGGCACGGGCGCTCTGGCCGGAGCTTCAGGCTTCTCCGGCTTTCGGGCGAGTAGCTCGGCGTAGAGGTCTGGATGGCGCTAAAAATACTAAATCATGAAAGCCCGGTTAAAGCCCACATTCTTCATATGGGTCCAAGCGTTTCGCGTAGAGCTGGCGCTGAAGGACTGCCCGCAAAAGTCGCAGACATTCCGCATGTCGACGCGCGTAAATGCACTAAATTTAAGCTTACAAAAAAGGACAATCCGACATACGCCCAAATTCCCGATGCTTGGCTCAGTTTCGTGCGTTTCGCCGTCGGTTCCGCGCCTTCATTCGAAAATTGCGCCTCATCTTGCTGGTAATTGGAGCTTAAAAATTGTTTTAGAAATTGTATGCTACAAGAATCTTCCAGAATTGGGTTTCAAAAAGCCTACAAATCATTTTCGCTTCCGTTTGGCGTTTCGGACATTGGGGTTAGTAGGAAACCACCTGAAAATTCAAATACATGAGTACCTTACGAACACAGCTTTTATTTGAAGAGTGGAGGTAAATTCGCGTATAATAAAAAAAATAAAATTACAAGTGGGAGGCTACAGAAATAGACGGACTTTTCGGACTTTTCAGTCATTTTTGAAGTGACACTAGTGAACAGGGCTGGTACCTAGATCAAATTTACACCCGTGAAATTTATACACGCGTGTAAACGCATTTTCCGGCACCAAAACCCTCTAAAAGTGCAAAATCACGAGTGTAAATCCCAAAAACACGCGTGTAAACTATTTACACGCGTGTAAAACCGAGGTGTAAATATTTTACACGCGTGTAAATTTTGGGCTGTTTACACGCGTGTAAATGCCATCTGGGTACCAGCCCAGAAATCGGCATACTCAAAATAACTAAAATTAGCTAGCTACAGGTAACCGGAATCAAGGTGCTCCTCGTAGTTGTCAGCTTATTTTAAGCGAAACACAACTGCTTACAGCTTGTAAGCAAGCTAGCGCAAAACGATCGATATGGTGTGGGGGTGCGGGGATGGCCTAGGCCAGGCCGGCCTCGCACCCCTCCAGAGAGCCGCAGCGCCCGGCCAGCCGAGGCCACGCCCCCGGCCCGAATAATCGGCCTTGTCCGCGTCCAGGGCCGGAAAGAGCGCTGCGCCCCCACTTTTGGGGTCGAAGGGCCGGGTGTGGGTACAATTCGGATAAGCGGGGGAGAATTTTAGGCGGGGGAAACCAACTTTTTTTTTGGTACTATTGAAGTTGGGGGGGCAAAATTTTTTTAGGTCATTTTTAGGCTACTTGATCAGTTTTTCGTGGCTAACCCAGCGCAATACTCAACTCCTAAGCTAAGCTAAGCCGAAGCACAGTTAAATTAAGCTTGAACAAAGCTAAGTCGCAGCCAAAAGCAGTGATGCTGTGACGAAGCCAAGCTTAGGGCCAGGTACTAAGGTTTAGGCTAAGCATAGACCTAAGCCTAGGTTAAACTAGTTCTAAGCCTAGCCTAAGTTAAGCTTAAGCCTAAGCTAAAGCCTAAGCCAAGCCAATACTAAGCTAAGCTAAGCCTAAGCCAGAGAAAAGCTGACCAATGAGCCCAAAAATGACCCGAAAAAAATTTTGCCCCCCAACTTCAATAGTACCTTTTTTTTGTCGGCCCTGGTGGGGATAGTAATCAAATATAAAGTGTTTTCACATTGTTTTTAGCAAAATTTAAGCCTATTTGACTCGGAAAAACTTTTTAAAAAGTTAGAAAAACGCTTGAAAAAGTCGAAAATTTGGTCATTTTTGGGGCCGAAAAAATCGATTTTTCGACCTAAACTTAAATTTTTTAATTAAGTTGTGTAAAGTTTTTATGTTTAGGAATAGGTATTGACAATTTAGAAACACTTCCACTATTTATATAACAAATATAGGCTTGGCCGGAAAAAAGTTCGGTTTCCCCCCCGCCTAAAATTTCCCCCCGCTTATCCGAATTGTACCCGGGTGTGGATGTGGTATTTGTTGAGTCAAGCCAAAAGTCGGGCGTGAGCTTTATACGGTTTCCGGTCTAGAAAATGAGATTCTGGATCACTAGCGGAGACAAAAACGTGCTTTGACAATGCACCGAATGCCAATAACGATATAGTAACTATTTTGACAGCATTTGGTGCTTTCCCGTTATCGGGGGGGTAATATTACACATTTTTATTAGAAAAAAAAATAGATTTTTCGTCGAAAATTTGGAAATTTTCTATGCTGTTTCGATCATTTTTCTACCTGAAATATAGTTACATTTTTCTAAAAACTAGTTCTATTGAAACACTTACTTGTACTTGATTAGGCATCTTTGGACTCACAGGAAAAACACTCACCCCCGATAATGCAAAAGAACCAAATATCCATTTAGCCGTCCCCCACTCCGCCGAGCTGCCCTTCATCTGGATGTACGAGGGCGATTGGGAGACGGCCATCTCCCGAAACCTCACCGACCCGTTCGACTTCCAGCTGGGTGATTGGTACGGGGAGACGTGGACCAATTTCGCCAAGTACAGGTTCGTTCTATTAAATGAAAATAAAAAGATGCAACAATTTTAGCCGCCCAACCCTTGACGACAGCTGGCCACCAATGTCCAAGACGGTGTCGCACTTTAACATTGGAAAGCCGTCGGATGGTGGAATGAGGGTCGTGCCGGACTATCGGGAAACTGACCGGATCGTTTTCGCAAACGTAGGTCCCAAAAAATATTATTTTTAGCTTAAAAATAATTAAGTTTAAGGTATATATACATACAAACGTTACCAAATTCCAGGCGATCGATCAGCTCCTCAAAATGATGCCCTCGCAACCCATCCGCGAGCAGGACATGAAGCTGAAAGGGGCCTGGGGTGCCAATAGATGATAGAAAAGCTCATAAAACTCTTTATTATCATCATCACAGAATCACATATGGCAGTAACCGTGTCGAGGCAGTAGATGTACATAAAAGTTAGACCCGTAGGCTATTGCATTGTTGCCGCTTCGATAGAATTCTCGTAACAGAAGACGTGCATGAGGTTCTGGCTTTGCGGGTCGCGAACCAGGGCGCTAAAAATCCAGTTTTTTTTAGGTTTATAACTTTTAAAAGCAAGTTTCAGAGGTTTAAGAGATACCAAAAAAACTCAATTTTTGAAGTCAGAAAAGCACTTTTCATACCTGTTCCCAATCTTCTTATTGCACAGCGCGCATTCTGTCATATTGTTGACGTCAACCTTCAGCCCTGCCACCTTGCGCAGCTTCTCCTCGGTGACGGCCCGCGCGCATTCGCACATACGACGTCTGATGGAGCTCTGAAACCGCGTTATTTTCGCCTTTATTTCCCTTCTATAACATGGTTTAATTTTGTTTTATAACTCTGGGCGTACTTTCGTCGCCTCGTCATGTGTTGCTTGTATCACCGCACTAATGGCCATGGAGAGAAGTTGAAGCGGCGTTGAATCCGGAATTATTCGGAGAGCAGCCACTATATTTTTTTTTTCTTTTTCTCATCTTTTCTACTAACCTGTATCAATTTTATCGGCATGACGGCTCAGGATCCGAATCGCCTGCTTCACATTTGGTTCCGGGATAGGGATTTGGCGCTCGCTCAACCCGGCAATCTTCAAAAGATTGAAGTGTTTTATAGATTTTGCATTTCATATGCTTTTTATTAACGGCCAATAACAAGAAAAATAGCGGCTTTAAGGCAAGAAAATATAGCCGATCCATTTTTTCTTCATTTTAATCCCACCTGCGGATCCTTTGGCGATACAAAAGCCTCGAAGAGTTGGAGATAGATCTGGAATAAGCGCATTTGAAAAAAATAAAAATGAGCGTACCTGAGGTCCGGTTTTCTGGTTATAGTGCAGTGCACAGTACTTCTCAGCCGCCTCGTAGTCGTGCAAAATTGAGGTGTAGATCGTAAGGGCTTGCTCGTGTTGTCCGAGGCGCCCTAGCATTAGTGCGCGTTCCTCGTAGAATGCTAAAAGGTGGAGGTGAAAGCTCTAACTTAAATTTAAAACTTACCTTGATTGCTAAGCTGGACCAACACCGTTTGTGGTGAATAAGAGCGACTGTTCTCCAAGAATTTCAGCAGCTTTCGCCTATACTCGCCGAGTTCCCCGTCCTCAGTACCCGCCCGTATTATCGTTTCGTCTAGAATAAAAACGTTTAAATTTTAAATATACTTCAATTCACTTCAATTTTAAAATATACCTAAATAATTAAGTTTTGAATATAATTTACCATCAGGAAACGCGTGCACGTAATCCTTATGTAGTGATTTAACTTTAGCCACGTAGTGCTCGGCGAGGCATTCGTGAAATTTTGGACGCTGCTCGCCCCACGCAGAGATTATGTGCTCCTGAAAGTATTATGTGCTCATTTTAAGAGCCGTTAAATGCTAAATGAATTCAATATACTTCTGAAAATTCCGAAAACTCACTAAATACGGGATCAGCGCGGCCACGCAATCTTTTTGCAGAAAATCCACGACCTTCTCTCGATCGAGGTTGCTGGCCAGGTCAGAATCAGGCGATGTAAATATCTAGAAGCCCCAAAACTACAGAATATAGTGCAAAAACTTACCGCCAGTCCCTCCTCCACATCGGCATCAAGCACCCATTTCGAGTACTTGAAGATCAGATCAATCTCGTTGTTGCCGAGCGTTTGAAGGTACTCGACCGTCCTATCAATAAATTTCAAAAAGTTAACTAAAGTTACTTGTAAGGCCCCGCAAAATACGCATCGCAATCCGGCCTCAACGATTCGCCTTTGAGCAGTTCGAGCGCTAAAAGATTTTTTATACGGAAAATCGCGCAAAATTACCCATTTCATGTTTCCTTCTCGTTTCGTACAACACAAAAAGCGAAGAATTACGTCCGGATTTCTAAAAGTTTAAAAATTTAGGATCAAATGGGTTTATACCTTAATGATATCCTCCGCATCCGGAAACCAGCAAGCGTTGTCTCGGAGTCGCAACAGTGAATCGACCATCATCGGCTTTGTCTACAGAAATTCAGTTTTTTAGAAAAGCTAAATCAAAACTTACTCGGATATAGCATTTCAAGAGCGTGGTATCGACAATTTGCAAGTTGGCTTTGGCAGCTTCGTGCTCTTCTTTTGAAAGTCTTCCTGAAACCTCGAGCAGTCTAGAAAAAATAATGTAAGCCCTACCCTCTGGAACGTTCATATGTTTCGCTTGTTGATGTTGCTCCAAGCTGCGCGCCAAATCCGTGCGTACCTAAATTCTCCTAGCCGCTATTTCCGGTCACCTACCTTTGCCAGATAAACGGAAAGTGCTTGGATCGCCCGTTTCTTCTCATTTTCGGGAAGTTCCTTTTGTGGGGATGGGGAGAGTTGTTGCTGAAAGAAATTTTGCGTATTTATATTCGCGTTTTCGCGACTTACAACTTTCGGCGGAAGCAACTCGGGGATCAGCTGGATCGCGGGACCAATGTCTGAAGAAATTTTTTTGCTGAGCGTTTTTCATGACTTACCGCTCCCAATATCAGAAAACACTGCATAGCACTCATCGTATTCGGCCGTCGAGAACAAATAAGTAGCATATTGGCGCTTGATCTCCTTTTTCTGGTCGTCGGTAAAGATGGCGAATTGGTCCTAATGGCTTTTAACATATTCAGACGATTCCTTACAGCCAATTGTATCGCCAATGGGTACCGCGCATCTTTGATCAGGCTGCTGACATTGTTACGTAGATTTTCATGGCAATCCAGCATCCAAATATCACAGAGGCTACCAACGACGACACAACCACTGAAATTTTGAAGTTTTTTGTTAATTGGATCATGGCTGATTTTAGTCCTATCTCAATTTCTATAACTTACGGCACGGCATTTGTCAACAAGTGTGCCTGCTTGAGGGTAAATGATTGGATGAGCTGTGGCGAGTCGTAGGTCCGAATTTCGACCAGCCCTTTCGGCAGTAAACCCACGACAAATGGCGGGTCCCACACTAAAATTATCGTATATTTATGTGTCTCTGCACCTACCTAGGTTGAGCAACGCCTCCGAAAAGCGCACATCCTTTCGGGTTTTCGCTTCCGCATCGACCGGGACCGTTACAAAGTTTTTACCTACAGTTATAAATTTATTGCAAAATCGCGGAAACTCACCAGCTGCAAAACCAATCATCGCTCGATCTTCTAAATACGTAATAATTGGCGTGTCGAGAAAGCTCATCACCGCCCGAGTGGTGCATTTACAATCCTGAAAACTTTAAAATCGGGTTTTTGTCAAAGTGCCTTGAACTCTTCATTTGGCCGCAGATCAGTTACGTGGTACTCGTTCCGGAGAGAGTAGGCTAGCGACAGGCCACACCTAAATTAGGTTAGGGCTTGCTAAAATGTACTACCAAGTAAGATTGGCGGGGTTGTCCTTCAACTCGAGGAATGGCGACCCATCAAGCAAAACTTCGACAAAATCGTTTTGGAAGAACTAAAAAAAATGGCTCAATAAGATGACGCGGTGTACCTTGAAGACATGTATTCGTCGTTTGACAGCAACAGCTACTTTCACGCTAGCATCGTCCTAAAAGGAAATATATAGCAGCAACAAGTTCATACCGTATTTTGATGAACTGCAAACGTATGGATGGGCTTCAGCTTTAATTGCGCGATCAGCGGGTACATCGTGTCTGTGTCGAATTGGTGCACGGATAACTAAAAGATTTTGATTCCCAAAAAGTGGTAAACCTGTTGATCACTCATACAAAATAGAAGCTGCATTGTTTCGACGATTGCCATTTCAACAACCGGTTTCCGCTCGAAATTCCGGCGCATATGCTTGAAGTCGAACCGGAACCGTGAAGCTAAACAAGCTAAAATTTCAGTTCAAAGATTTCTCACCGGTCCTGCCAAATATCAGCAAATGTCCTTCCTTGCAACTGGCCAGAACATCTTGCGATGTCTCTAAAAAAGCGTTTTCAAGTATTTTTTTGGGACTTGACGCCTTACTTTGGCTGCGGATCGAGCATAGCTCAACCTTTAGGCTTCTTCCAACCTCTCCGATCGAATAGGCATCGAACATAACGGAGATTTGTAAAGGCTTTCTGCAAGTTTGCTTTGCAGTCGTTCCCTTCAAGGAAAATGATTGCAGATAGTGCATAGACCGCACTGCGCAAAGTACCGGCCCGGAATCGCAACATCTGTCAAGCTAAAACAAGCGAAGAAGCACTAAAGTCATTCCCACTCATCAACTCTGTCAAAGACTACCCCCGCCTTCTGCCATAAGTGTGTATTTAGACCCGGGGACCAGCGTACGATAGAATGCTTCATTAACAAAAATACACGGGTAAACAGTGAACACGTAAATAGGGTCGCGAGAACATGGAAAAGTAGTAGGGCGAAGATTTAGAGGGGAATCAAAGCGAAAATACAGTTCGAGCCAACCACATAAATATTTTTCGAGATCGTTTGTTCAGGCGCCGAGCATCTGCCGCTGGACGACCTCGGCGTTGTAACGTTGGGCTTCACGGCGCACGCGCTTCTCGTATTCCACCCTAAAACTGATATGAACGAAAGCGGAAAAAAATTGTACCGGTTCTGGCAGTAGATCTGGTAGGCCTCGGCCTGTGCCGGGTCATCGGGGTTCGGGTTTGTGAGCAGGTCCTGGATGCCGACCAGCAGCTGCTTGATTGTGATCGAAGGCTTCCAGTCCTTGTTTTCGTCGAGTAATGAGAGGCAAACGGTGCCGGACGGGTAGACGTTTGGGTGGAAGAGCGGCGGCTCGAATTTGCACTTCGGTGGTGTGGAAGGGTAGTCGTCCTTGAATGTCATCCTCAACTGAAAAAAAAAATAGAATAAGTTCAGCAAACCACGACAGCCCGATAAAATCCAAACTATTAAAAAAAAAGTACCTTATAAAGTCCATTCTCCCAAATTGATCCTTTCTTTCCGGGGATGGCGCATTCCCACTGGTAGAGGTTGAGGGAGCCGTCCGGGTTCTTGACGGGTTTTGCGATGAAGCCGAATGGGTGGTCCTTCCGCCAGGCCTTGCGCTCCTCGCAGAGCCGGTTCATTGCGATGCCGGCCATCTGAAAAAGGAATTATAAGTGTGCATATGATTCGGGCAACAATAATTGAAAAAGCGATGGGTGAGAAGAATATGGGTAGGGGAAGGGCAAAGAAAAACAAAGAAGGCATAAAGTCATAAACGGACCACAAAAAGTAAATGATACTTGAAGAGCTGCCAAAGTCAGAGAAGGATCATAAAAATCAAATGACGAGTGAAGTGCTGGTGGATCATCGTCAACTTTCAATTTTGGTTCTGCCGCGATTTTTCGTAATTATTTTGGAACGGAACGGGGTTGAAAAGGGCGCGAAATGGGGCGCAACCGCGACGCGTGCTGCATCGATTTCCTGACGTAAGCGGATCAATAAATCGATATCACAGAGAGCGCAGACGAACAGAAAACGACAAAAGTTTGGCGGGAAGCGAGAGGGCGGAGAAGCCCAAAAAGATGGCCTAATGCTCTGCGGAGCATGGGCTACTGTAGCTGGGGTGTTTTTTAGGCGAGTCGACGGGCAAAACACTTTATTGTGAAAAAAAGGCCAAAAACATGTGATATGGCGTTGGAAAGAAATACTTTGCGGCAACAGCTACCCACAAATTCCATAAATACGTAATACTGCGTGGCGAAGAAAGTGGAGAAGGCTATAAATTAGGCACAATTTGAAATGGTGGCTATTTAGAAGCGGTTTTTCAGCTGCTCTGCCATTTAGTTTTGATCTTTTGCAGCACGTTCATCAACACGTCGATGGTGGATGACTGGTCTTCTTGTGAAGGCTGTTGGGGATGGATTGGCAGCGAGGCGGCCAATTTGCTGTGCTAAAAAAGAAGGATATTCCAGAGAATTTGTAGGTTTTTTTACCTTCAGCGACCTGAATTTGGCCTTGAGACAGCAGATATTCGGTGCACATGGGTCGTATTCTGGCATACATGTGCACGGGGATGACTAGATAAGTTTCATAACGTCGGTAACAGTTTTTTACCTGAACGCCAGTCAGATACATAACACAAGTTGTCGTGAGAGGATATGTGGGCGCCGTAGTGATTACATCTTGAGCAGCTAAAGTTTTTGAAGTAGTTTTTGGTAATGTATAATCCTACGGGTCGGGGCAGCAGTAGTAGTTGGATGCGTGGTCTGTATGGTCGAGGTTAGAGGCTAAAATTTTAGTTTTATTTTTCATAAATTTCGATTACCGGCAAGGTCTCTGTGCTGAATGTTGGAATAACAGTAGGGAGCGCCTAAATTTTTTCATTTTGGTAGTCGAGGCAAAAAAAGAAAATTATTTGATTAATAGGGTAACCTAATAGCCTTTACTTTTCAATGTTTGGTAAGTTAGTAGTAGTAGGCCTTAGGTACGTAAGTAATTTTTTTAAAATTTGATAACTAGGCGGTTTGCTACTAAATTACCGTGCTGGGTTGCGTGGCCGGTGGTAAGGTATCCGGGATGGCCGTCTGCGGCGGGTAAGTGATTGCAGCTTGTGTAGTCATCGGCGGTTCAGCAGCCTAGAATAAGATCCAAATTTGAGTTGCTTTTTAATTTGTACCGTTTTTCTTTTCTACTTTGATGATTTAATGGTTTTTCGTAAGGATTTAATCAAGATTTAAGCCAGACATACAGGGGTTGCTGGGGTTGACAAGCAGCTGCACTGATATTGTGCGGAGGCCGGACCAGTGATGGTAATCATGATGCAGTGACATTGACCATTTCCGGGGGTTTCGGTCTGAATTGTACGTAATGAAACCTCTTTAATACTCACCGTGATATAAGCCGGTGTGGTGTTGATAGTCGTTGTCTCTGGGGGTGGCGTGAGCTCGGTCGTCGTGGTAGTGGTTGTCATTGTCGTGGTCGTTGTCGTAGTTGTTGTCGTCGTCGTGGTGGTAGTCGTCTGGAAAGACTTCGATGATCCCTCAGGATTCATACAGTTGTGGTGGTGGTGGTGGTAGTAGTGGTTGTGGTAGTGGTCGTAGTGGTGGATGTGGTGGTGGGTGTTGTGGTTGTGGCTGGCGTCGTTGTGGCCTATGGGTGCAAAATGGAGCCAACCACGGCTTTCGGCACTATGATATGACTACACGTCTATGACTACAAGTGCACAATTAGAACATCTTCATTTCAATGATGTGGCGCAAACTAGAACTTCAATACTAAAACACTAAACCACGTCTCAATGTTAACCCCACCCACCGGAACCGTGACAGTACCGCTCTCCCCACAATGGCATTGATACTGTGGCGTGCCGGCAAAGACGATTTGTATGCAGGCACACCTAAAGAAATATTAAACTAAAAAAAAATCCCTGATTCAGGGATGCCCAGGGACAGAACCCGGCATGCGGGGCGGAAATTAAAACGGGAAATACATAGAAGGGATTGGTTGAATTTAGAGTGGACAGACTTACGATAGAGGAGAGAATTGTCCGCTTAAGGATTTTTTTGCAAAAGATTTAGATGGCAATGGCTTACTTTGCTGCTGGGTATGATTGCGACAGCTCGGTGGCGAGCTCATCTTTTTGGCTGGTCGCATCTGGTGCTGCCTAAATTTTTAATAATTTTTTCAGCTTTAATCAGTTTTATAAATGTTATATTTTTAGGTTTAGGCTAGGGAGTCGATAAAATAAAAATACCTACATAAATTCTTAGCTAGATATTCGTCCTAAGAACGTAATAACCTAACAATTCCTAAATTCCTAGTAACGTAACGTCCTAACGAGGCGTTAAAAGTCGCAATCCAGCGAAATTCTATAGTTAGCAACACATTTATTGGGGTTTTTACTCATGCGAGTGAGCTTTTTCTGTTATTATTATTATTTTTCTATTTCATTTATAACTTTTTTAGAGCCTTAGCTTTAGCCCCAAGTTATTTTACCGGTTTATCAAAGAAAATTAAATTTTTTAGCGTTATTTGTAGGTACCGCCCTTTCTTACGCCCAATGGGGGCGCTAAACAATGACCCAACGCGGGCAATGACTTTACGGCGGGGCGGATTGTTTGTTAAGCCGTGTTGCCATTGGTGAGACAAGCGGTCCCTAGGCGGTGTCGGCTTCCAATTCGGACACCGGCCCATCGCAAACAACTCCCCGGTGACTATCCGGCTTGTCGGCCATTCACCGTCAACCTGACGCGCTACTTTTTTGGTTGAGAATGCTTAAAGGGGCCGGCTGGCTGTCTAAGCGAGTGGACATTACGGGACCCGATCTACAGGGTGTCCCAAAAAAAACGAACCATCTGGCATTTCGCCGTGTTATATCCGATCGGCCCCAAATTTGGACCAGAGGTGTATCAGACCCTAAATAACAACAATCCTGACTTTTAGCCCCGAAGCTACAGTAGTTCCCGAGTTATAAGAAAAATACTACTTTTCCTGGAATTCTGAACAGTTTTTTCGGCTATCTTTTTGGACTTTGCATCGATTTGCATCGACTTCCGGCTGCGAATCCCCAATTTCGCTTAAGAACCTGGGTAATTTTGCGTTGTAAAAATCGCTTAAATCGACGCTTATTTAATTAATTTAGTCTGGAAAAAATTTCTTAAGGTAAAGAAGGCCTTTCGGATCATTTTCACTTAATGTTTAGGGGGTCTAATTCCACGAAAATCCTATGAAAAATAGAAACTAAGTTTTGTTTTTGCCATAACTCTAGAACTACTGTAGCTACAGAGCTATAAGTCAGGATTGTTGTTATTTAGGGTCTGATATACCTCTGGTCCAATTTTGGGGCCGATCGGATACAACCCGGCGAAATGCAAGATGGTTCGTTTTTTTTGGGACACCCTGTATTACCAAAATATCGTTAAGGTATCCTAGGAATCAGAGAACGTGATTTTTTAAGGCTCACTGTTGCCGTAGCTTGCGGGCAGCTGCACTGCACGTTATTGGCATAATCAAGGCGTACGCATCTGCACTGTTGTCGTTTACTCCTCAAAACGACCGGGGCTCCAGCCAACCAGTCTTGTTGGTAACTTTCGACCTAAACGGCTAAAATACAACTTCCCCCGAGGACAAAAACCCACCGAGCAAGCGAAGACCAGCGCCAGAAGCCCGACGGTTAAACCCCAATTACGCATCTGAAAAATATCGAAAGGTTATAAACTTCATCAAAATTAGTATGGTTTTTCGTTAAGATCTCCAAGAAAGTGCTGATTTATTTTTAAAGCAAACGCGGGGAGCAACATAATATCTATAACGTACAGTGAAAACCTGGAAATTCGAAAAATGTACCGATTGCGTTTTATACGCTTGGCAAAAAAATAACGGATGAAGGTAGTAAATTAATGAATCTTTAAAAACTGTCCCTATTCCAGTAATGTTGCAACGAGTTAGAGAAGTATTGATGCCTTGCAACACCCTGAAAAATTGTAATTCAGCTTCTATTTAAGAAACTAAAGCTAAATTCGATGAAGTGGTATTAGATCTAGTAGGGACTTCAATAAAGCAAGCATTTTTAGAAATTTAGAGGTAAGCTTAGGACTTAAGCTTCGGACAGCTTCGGAAGTTCAACGAATCTTTGAACAAAGGCTGTAGAAGATCTGGGAAGGTACAGAAATGGCGTCGGCAAATTCAAACTTTTTGGAATAATACGAGTAATAATCAAACGTTGAAGGTAACTGGTAAATGGATAGATAATAATGCGTTTAAGTAAGGTAATAACCGGCTAGCCAGTAATTTGGTCCAAAAGACCGTTGGCAGCCGATGGCACGGCCGAGGGAATTGAAGACGCCCCCTCGGAGCCTTTTATATGGCAGCCGCGGAAGCGGAGAGAGAAGCAGTCGCGGTAGAGGCCACAGGGGGCCAACCAGGGCCACCCCCTTTCCCATGCCAATTCACAGGCCATTCTTCTGCGTCTTTTTCCGGCCAGCTCTCTCCCACGGAATACCGGGTTCTCCCCCGACAATTCTCGAAGGCTTCTCGTCGTTCAACCCTCAACAAGGGTAGACACAGCCAAGAGAAAAAAGTTGCGAGCTATTGTCTTGGCGCGGGCGTTCTCGGGTGGGGTCGGAAAAAAATATGGCGTGAATTTGACGTGCATATTTGCTAGAATGTTGTCGGGTGGTTGGGGGTTTGTTGGTATACTTTTTTAATAGGCTGTGGAGGTAGGAGAGACAGAATATTTGTATGAAAAGTTCAAGTGACTTTCCAGGTAATAACAAAAAGTATGGTTCTTTAGGATTTCGGGGGGAAACCAAATTTTTTCCTGGTTTTCCCGGTTGGCCTAGTAATCAAATATAAAGTGTTTTCACATTGTTTTTAGTAAATTTTAACTATATTTAAAGTAGAAAAATCTTTCAAAAAGTTAGAAAAATGTTTGAAAAAGTCGAAAATTTAGTCATTTTGGGTCTTTCCCCCCGCTAATCCTAAAGGTTCTATAGGATTTTTCGACCTAAAATTAAATTTTTTAATTAAAATGTGGGTAGTTTTTATGCTCAGGACTAGTTAAAAACCATTTAGAAACGCATCCGCTATTTAGAAAAAAATTTAGGCTTGGGCCGAAAAAATTTGGTTCCCCCGGAAATACTTCCCCGGAAATCCTAAAGAACCAAAAGTATAGCTAAATTGTTAGCGATATTGTCATCAGTAGTTAGATTTCTGTAGTTATTTCTTTTGTCAGAAAATGCAAAATTTAGGGCCAATACTTCAAGGAATTAAAGTAATGAACCATAAGCTCGCTGGGTATGAGGTTAAGCCTACTTCTAAACTTGAATCGAAGCCTAGGAATGTAAAGGTGACATGAAAACGTTAAATTTCCGGGGATAACATAGGCATCACAACTCCTATCGTTACTGGTATCGCTTTAGGTATCGATACCAAGGTAAGACGCTTTAGACCGATACCTTATTAGGAAAGGTAAGATACCACAAGCAGAGCTAATGAAAAGTTATTTAATGTTTCCCACAGCATTTTTACCCCTACAACCGGTAGACGGAACGTTAGCTCATTATTTACCTAACCTACGCGCCTTGACTAGCTTACCCTACCATCAATGGGCCATCATTCCATTCTTTCACATGCTGGCCCAAAAGTGCACAAAAAAGTGGACGTTCCTTTGAGCCGGCGCACAAAAGTGCTGATGCCAACCTAGGAGGGCGTCGTAGATCAACAATGGTGCTGGTTTTTGCTGCAACTCGTCCACAAGAGGTTGGCAGTCGGCCGGCTAGCAGAAATCCTTCAGGAATGTACGCCTTAAACAGACCATTTTCCTCTGAACCCCAAGAAAACCAGAATCCGACACTTTTTTACCCATTACGCACCTTGCCCTCCTCAACACCTGCCCGCCGTCGTTCCCATCGCCTTGCCGTGGAGCCGGATGTTGGCGGATGGAGTGTTCTTTCTGTTTTGTCTGTCTGTCGATCTCTAATACCAGATCTGTTTGTCTGTCCGTCTGTCCGTGAAGATGGTTGTCCGGCCCCTGCCTGTATCGCTGTCGCCCGAAATCCGATACAGACGGGACCTCGGGGATGCAATGGATATTCTCGCAGCTGACGCATCCCCGCGATGACGTTGCGGAATCGGAATTGTGGGCGTGCAGGGTAATATCCAGAGGATTAGCAAAATGAAAAGCTGTCTGGGGCGACTGTGATACGGTGGTAGTTCGAAAAAAAACAGCAAAAAGCCTACGACACTCGGGATTCCCAGGCCGTCTCCGATCCAAGTACTAACCGAGCCCAACGTTGCTTAACTTGGCAGATCGGACGGGATGCCGTGCTTTCAGCGTGGTATGGTCGTAGGCGAAAGGAGGAGGGTTAGAGCTACTGATGAGAGACAATTACTTCCATGCTTCTATGAAACTCCAACGGCAAATCGTAGCTATCTCTCATCAACAGTCGATTCCTGCCCTCTTTCGCCTACGACCATATCACGTTGAAAGCACGGCATCCCGTCCGATCTGCCAAGTTAAGCAACGTTGGGCTCGGTTAGTACTTGGATCGGAGACGGCTTGGGAATCCCGAGTGTCGTAGGCTTTTTGCTGTTTTTTGGGGCGATTTTTTGCAGTTTCTTTCGTCAGATTTTTGGGGGAGTAAAGGGAATAATCTTGCTAAACCAATACTCGCCTTGAAGTTTATAATTTTGTGCCCGATTTGGAGAAGTTTCTAGTACTACATTCCTATTATTACTTTCCTGCCATTTCTCTTTAACACGCGCCGTTCGCCATTGATCAATGGAAAAGCAAACGCGCAAATAGTTGGCAGACGCCTAAAAAGCGTACCCCGGGGACTTGTTGCAGGCAAATAGGGGCGAACACAAAAGGGGCGTTCTGAATGCGCGTACAGTTCAGCGCTGTCACGTGGTTGTTGCGCTTCCGAGACGCGTTCAGGTGCAATATCGTAAAGTTCCGGATTTCAACACAGTATTTATTTGGAAAAATGTTGTTAATAGGGTCTCATGGGCAGATGGCGTCTCGGAGGTCCATGTACAGGTCAGATATCTAAAGGATGGCATGGTTTTAAAGATAGAGCATGAGTTTTTGGTAAAAGCTTATGGCTAAACGTACCCGTCTTCGAATGTCGGCGAGAGCATCTTGCATACGGGCGGCTTTCATTGCGTAATATGCTCTCATCTCGTCCATGCCAAGTTCGGCGCATGGCGGCGGTCGTAGCCGATGGGCCCTAGAATTTAGAAACTTAAGCCTAAGCCTAAGCCTAAGCCTAAGCCTAAGCCTAGCAATAAGGTTAATCTGAACCCTTATAACCTAAGCCTAATTACTCTCATAAGCCCTACCGATGCGCCCTGCATGGATCACACTCGACGCATGGATTGCAAGCCACATCTGTGCAATTCTTCGTTTCCGCTTCTATTGATTCGATTGAGTTATCGATCAGGATGTCATCCTTCTAAAAATGAAGAAATTAGTGATTTGGCCGTCAATATGTATCCTAAAACTCAAAGCAGAAAAACCGTGTTAAACAAGCGAATAGCTCGCAAGCATGGAAAAATCAAAAGCTGACACCGGAAAGGTATAAGGAGAGTAAAAGCCGAACCCAAAGGAAAAGGAAAGACACCCTTGAAAAACCAGTTATTACCCGCTTCAGAACAGCTGCCGGTTTTCCGATCATAACTGCTTGTGTCTTCGAATCTCTGTCACTATCCGAACTCAAACTCCCACGACCCTTCCCCTTCTTCCCCGGGCTTCGAATCGGCGCCTGCGACTCAAGCTTCTGCGCCTCAACCTGGTCCCTGAGACTGTCCACCGCCTTCTGGGTCTTCTCCAAAAGCTGCTCGACTTGGGTCTTCGGTTTTGAAGGAATGGCCTCTTCCACGGAATCTTCAGAAGCTGATGAAGCTTGCTTTTGCAATCCAGCCTTCGCGGGTCTATGAGCCAAGGCTTGATTTTCCTGCTTAATCTCGAGCTCCTGTGGTTTCTTCTCCTGGCTTCCAGTTTGGTGCGCAACTTCACCATGAGTCTCCTGTTTTTCTGTGATGCCTTCTGAGGCCACTGGCTTGATCGGCTTTACCGGAACCACCGGAGCAACAGCATCATCCGAGATTTCCTCAGAGCTTGCGGAGCTTGAGTGCTCCTCGCTGCTCTCCCAGGAGCTTCGATCGTCCGGTTCTGAAGCCGGCCCCTTCTCCTCGTTGCTCTTGATGGAAACGCTCATTTTCTCGCGCAGCGGTTGAGGGTGGGCTTGATGGCGCTCCTGCGGTGAGGCTAAATCTGAAGTTGGTGGTCGGAGTTCGGCGTCATGGGATTCTTGGGTTTGGACAACGGGTTTAACTTCCTGAGCTGGTCCTGGACCTCCAGACTCGACAGATTGCAGGTTCAAGCGCTGATTCTGCTTTTGCTCAAAGCTGTTAGGTTTGGAAGTAACGTTTCCGGAAGCGGGTCCCGGTCCCTGTTGGTCTACCGGCTTTAGGTCGACTTGTTGATTGGCGTTCGGTGTCAAAATAACGGTATCTGACTGGCTGGCCCCTTGAGCTTCTGGCCGCTTCTGCCCAGCTTCAGCCTGACGCTCGACCTCAGAAGCTCTAGCTTGTTCTTGCTGGGCAGACTCGCTAACAACTGGAATTACAACTGCGGATCGTTGTTCAGGCTCAAACACCTTATCCGAAGACACATCAGTCTTCTGATTTTCCGGATGTGCCTTTTCGACCTCTCCGGGAGCTTGAACTGCTCCAGTAGCCACCACTTGTTCTTTTGGCTGGTCGGAACCACTTCCTGGTTGATGCTCAGCAGCAGGTTTTCCCTCGCCGACCCGGACTACCTCATCATCAAGCTCCTCATTCGAATCCCACCTCTTAGCAGGTTGCAGAACGTCATGCTCGGCTTGGTCGTCAACAACAGCAAGTCGATCAGAGGCAAGTCCTTGGTTTACGGCTTTTGGCTGAATTATCACAGCAGCTGGCTCGTGCTCGGTATTTGACTCCTTCGGCCCTTCAGAAACCGGAAGCTTGGTTCCGACGACTTCTTGAGGGTTCTTTAAGTCGACCTGGCTTGGTGCCTGCTCCTCGAGTGTAGGTCGATTCACAGGATGCTGCTCATCTTCTGCTGACTGCCACTCAGGATCTTCTACTTCTTTCGAGTCCCAACCGGCCGGTGCCTTGACTTCTGGGTTTTGAGGGGCTTCAGCTGCAGGCTTTTCCTTCGGATCCTTGTCAACGGGGATTGGCGGGTCCCCAACAAGCTTCCATGGCTCTGAAGCATCTGGTGCCTTTTGTTCAACGACGATTCCAGCAGGAGCTCGATCCAGAGCTTCATCGGTGATTGAGTGCAAACTTGCAGGTCGCTGGGCAGGCACATCGAGATTATTGGAAGCAGGTTGGTTGTTGGCTTGCGCGACGTTGACAGGTTCTACAGAGCCCGTGGCAATCTTTGGGGAAGCAGCCTTTTCCTTAGCTTGCTTTGCCGCAAGAGAAGCCTGAATTTCATCAAGCTCTTCCTCAGAAGTGGGATCCCATCCAACGATCGGCCGGACAATATCTCCGAAATTTTGTACGACTGGAGCGTGTTTTCCGGAAGCCGAAGCGATCTGGATGAGGGGTTGAGCTCGATCTCCAGGTGATGGCACTTTAGACCCGAAATGAATGGCCTTCTCACCTAGGGTATCTGTCCTCGGTCGTTCTTGATGAACTCCTTGCCCGTGTTCTGCAGAACTCGGCCGGAACTCTTCCGCCTCACTGGATTCCCAGCCTTCATCCGGATTGATAACGCCGTCCACCACACCTTCAGTATTGCTCGGGCGGTTTTGTTGTTCTACAACCTTTGCTTGAGGACTTGCCGATTTCTGAGCAACTTCATTTGGCTTTTGTTGTGCTTCTTCTTTGTCAACCGGAAGCTTTGGCTCCTTCTGATCCTTTCCAATTCCCGCTTCGCCACTGGCAGTTTTGGGCTTAAGGTGATCCGGGTTCGGCAGGATTACACCGGCATTCAGGAACTTGCCCGGGCCCTTATCTGACTTCGATTCGATTGGACTGTCATTTTCTGGCTGATTGGGCTGCGCGGGGTCGACAAGGGCTTTTGGGGTGGGTGAAGCAACTGGTACTTGATTTCCAGGCTGTGGCTCGCCTGGCTGTCGTTCATCCGACGCTTCGATTCCAGAAATGCCTTGAGCTACAGGCGGCCTATCTTGGCTTTGTTCAGGTTTGGCTTCTTGACCTGGCTTCGAATCGGGATGCTCGTTGTCAGCCCCAATTCCGGCCAGTCCATTCGGCCCAGGAAGCTTATCTTGAGATCTTTCAGGATTAGCTTCCGGAACTGCGTGTCCGGCGTCCTTCTGCTCAACGTTCACGCTAGACAGCGCCTCAGGCATCTTGTCGTCCTGCTCATTCTTTTGGTTTTCATCAGCCCCAACTCCGGCAAGTCCATTCGGCATGGCAGGTTTATCTTCAAACTGGCCAGGTTTGGTATCACCGACTGTCTGCTCAGTTTCTTGCTGTTTCGGAAGTCCGGTGCCCTGAGCACCAGGTGGTCGTTGTTGCTCAACTGTGACAATCGGAAATTCCGCAGGCTTATGATTAGGATGAGGTCCAGCCTGCTGCTTCTCATCGGCCGCAATGCCTGCATTTCCTCCAGATCCGGGAAGCCTATCCTGCGCCTGGTGCGACTTGATCTCTCCGGGAGCGCCATTTCCCGGGATTCTCTTCTCCGGAACGCCTGGATCCTGGTCAGCAGGTGGCCGCTGGCCGGCTTCTGGCTTCTGTTCTGATTTTGGCTCCTTGCTCTCATTTGCGTCTGGCCCGATTCCGGCTACTCCATTGGCTGGCGGAAGCTTCTCTCCCTCCTGCCCAGGCTTGGCTTCTCCGGCAGCCTTTTCAAGCTGTTGAACTTGCTGAACTTGTTGACCCACCGGCTCGACGGATTTCACCGTCGCTTCGATCTCCTTTTGTTGAGCGCTGCCCGCCCCGATTCCAGCAACTCCATTCGGGCCAGGTGGCTTTTCGCCGTCGTGGCCGGGCTTTGGTTCTCCAGCTGGTTCTGCGGGCTCCTGAACATGCTGAGCTTGATGATCATCGGCTCCCGGAAGCTTCTCTCCATCTTGGCCAGGCTTTGCTTCCCCGGCCGGCTTTTCGAACGTCTGCGTTTGCGGAACCTGATGGGCATTTCGCCCTGCGTCCTTCTTTTGATCTTCATCAGCCCCGATTCCGGCAAGTCCGCCTGCTCCCGGAAGCTTGTCGTCCGATTTCCCGGTCTTGGCTTCCCCAGTCGCCGGCTGAGTTTCAATGCCGTCCTTTCCAATCCCTGCCGCACCTTCCGGCTTCGGCACGGCCTTTGAATCCTCCCCGATTTGCGCTTCACCCTTCGCAGCCTCAGGCACAAAGTTAGAAGACACTGGCCGCAGTTCTGGTGGGGAATTTAGTGCCTTAATGTCAGAATCCGCGCCGATACCAGCTAGACCCTGAGGTTTAGCTTCCTTCAAATGCTTGCTTTCCGCGCTCTTCAGATCCCCAGCGGCATTATCAGCTTTCCCAGCATCCGCCCCAATACCCGCAATTCCAGATGGGCCTTCTACCTTTCCGGCCCCAGCATTCGGAGCTCCATCCACTCCTTTCTCTTTTTCCATTCTATGCTCGGCCGATCCGATCCCGGCTTGACCCCCGGGGCCCTCCCAAGCAGTCAGTTGCTCTTGAATTTCCTTCGAGCTCAAGGTCTCAATACGCTTATGTTTGTCACTATCGGTTAGGAGGCTGCGAGTGAGTGGTAGTGGGTTACTGGAGTTGTTCTCTGGCTTACTTGCCTCGACGTGATCTACCGGATCGTCGCGGGCTGTATCCATCGCTGGGAGTGCAGCCGGTGCCTTGGTAGTCGTTGGGGCAGCTGTTGTTGTGGTCGTAGTCGAAGTTGTCGTTGTGGGGGTTGTGGTAGTCGCCTTTGTCGTGGTCGTTGTAGTCGTTGTGGTTGTCGTCGTGGTCGTAGTGGTTGTCGGCTTTGCGGTTGTCGTCGTTGGGTCTTCAGGATCTAAGAAAATGGTCTTTTAAGGCTATACCAAAAATCCAATACGTAGTAATACACTACATCCAAATTCTTCACGCTAATAATCATCAAGCTAAATTTTTGAAGGGCTATCAAGATCCCGACAGCCATAATCTCGACGGACAAAATGTGATATTCCCGGGCGTTTTTCCCTTAAACGGCTTAAATCTAGGGTTTCTGGCTGTCGGGATTGCGGTTGTCGGTATTTTGAATGTCGAGATTCTGAAGTTTATCTAAATTGTTTTATATACCACTAAAATTCCGTTAGTCTTGCGCCTCACCTTTATCCCCAACTTCAGAAAATCCTGCGACACCACCATCTTTATTCACCGGCTTCAACACCTTCGGCTTCATCCTGGGTCCACGGACACGCCCCGAGCGCTGGGCCACAAAAGAAGTCTCCTAGATTTTTGTCTTGCCCATTTTTTTGGAGTTCCCTACCTTCCCCCTCCCCGCCATGTACTTCTCCACCTCATCCTTGGTCATGTCGATCAGTTGGCATTTCTTGTCCTTGATGACGCACTTCTTGCCCTCCCTACCGACCATCACCTGGCCGCCCACCTCGATCTCTTTCCCATCGTAAAGGCATGCTAAAACAAGGCGGCGTGGTGGGATTGATTGAGGGGTTGAGGGTGAACTTTGGAACTTTAAAGTCGTTCGATATTTTGGGTTTTTGACATTATGAGAATGAGCTTCACCTATCGGCTTCCCCTCAGCTGTTGCCTTGGCTCCATTAAGCGTAAAGTTGCACAGCTGCTTGACCCCGTCCTCGACGAACTCGACGCCAAAGTGCACAAGAGTCCCATTGGCCATCGTACATCCCTCTAGAGACCAGGAAATTCAAAATCTCAAAGCTGAACTTACTCTTATCCTGGAAATCAAGAAGACCGGCTGACCCCGAGCAGAACTGCGGCTTATCGTCGACGTAGACGAGCGTGTACAACTCCAGCTTTTGGCCCTTGGGGTCTTTGCAATCTAGAAAGAGTCTCTTGGAGTTTTCATAAAATCGTAAATTACGGTCAATCGTCGCCTCTCCTTCCTTGCACACGTAGAAGACCTTGGCGGGGACGTCGGAGAAGTGTTCGCCGTCGGTGAAGTTTTTGCCAAAGATGAAGCAGGGCGGGGCTGTAAGTAGGGTTAGTAGGCTTAGGCTTGGTGCTTAGGCATCGGCTTGGACAGAACCGAAAACCTTACTTCCAACAGCCTCCAGCACAGCTCGATATCCCTTTTCAGATTTTCCCCTCTTCACACATTCCATCCTAAGAAACAAGTTCGAAGTAGTAATTAGTAAAGTACTGTAGTAACCTACCATTGATCATCTACCTTCTTCTTCTGCCCCACCGGGATCACTTGTCGATTATAGGCAATGCAGGCTACAAATTCCGAATTTTTTGTTGACCACGCCACATACCAATTTGGACGCCCTTCAAGTATTTTCCCTGGTTCTGACATTGCACTTGAACGCCGCTTTGGAGCGTCTTATTCGCCTGGAAAATTAACTTTGTCTTTTACAACCTTTCAACACCTCCTTCGGCGGATCCTGGGCCCAAACGGCACCATCAGCCTTTTGCATACCCTTGCTGTCCTCGCAGTAGGTCGCTAAATTTCGGAGTCCGGATTTTTGCTAATGACAGACATTTCAGGACGGTTTTGCGGACAGCTCCGTTTTCGAGTTTGGTGCATTCGATTACAGTATCTTGGCCTTCTGTGTTAGCGGGGTCCGAGTAGGTTTCACCAATGTCGATACGACCACCATGTTCGTCAAGGCAATCTAAAGTTTAGAAGGTAGCCTTATGACCTTCCGGAGGTCGCAAGTTTTCCTTTTCTAAAGCTCATAAAAATTGCTTGGGCTTGTAAAAGCTTTTTTAGATCCGAAAAGTACGTAAAATTGCCATTAAGCCGTACGCGTAATGGCGTATTCAACTTCGGTGTACCCGTCGACCTTCTCGGAGAGGCACTTGAATACAAAGTGCGGCGACAGGTATTCGCCGTTCAGCGGGATCACCGGCCCGGCCGCCGAGTTGTTAGGTGCGCACCCTAATCTGTATTTGATTTCGCGTAGATTAAACCAACCAATTGGCACGTAGCCGATCATATCACTCGTCTGGTTACATTGGAATTGGACATAGTCCTCGATGTATTTCTGAAAATCGGAAGTTTTGTGCATGAAGATGACTTCAGGTCTTTTAAAGCACGCCGTCAGGCTCACCTAGATTCGCTAGGCGAGCACCTATTTACGCATAGCTCGTAAGTAGGTAGCACGGTGTACTGTACATGTTAAACCTACTGTGCCAAGCGTCTTTTCCTCACATTCCGGAGCGTCGGCTCGGATTACGGACACGCAAATTAGTATAGAGAATAAACCGTGGATTAGGCGACGCATCGCCTGCAAATGGGGGACCCGGGTTTGCTTCTAAAAGTGGTAACTGAGATTGTGAAGTCATAGTAATAACCAGGGTTGGTCACAAAGGATCCGGTCCGCGGACGGTCCGCGGTTCGGTCCGGTCCGGATGGAAATTTCGGACCGGACCGGACCGGACCGGCCCCCGGACCGGACCGGACCCGATTAGGGTCCAGTGTGACCAACCCTGGTAATAACTGATAAACGGAAGAGAAAGCCATAAAGACCTTAAAAAGCAAAAAAAGTTAGGCAAGAAGAAAAAGACGCTTTAGCAAAGCTAAGAAAGTGCCCTAGGAAAATGCGTAGATTTGAAAACCAAAAAAATTCCTAGCTAATAGCTTATTTCAAACCGACAGCTAGCGAGAAAAATTTTCTGTTTTTTTCTGTTTCTAGATACCTTACGGGGTTCTACGAAATTTTAGAAAGTCTACAGAAATTTCGCCCAAATCCAGCATCTAAAAACTGTCGGCAACTCCGACTTCTTCGATCCCATCTATAACTCGCTGCCAAGGTGACACGTAGTTATATGTTTCCCACCGTAAACCGGCAGCGCTTCGCCCTCCCGACCGGACGTAAGATATTGACTACACCCACCTCTACAACCCCGAAACCACAAAACCCGAATCGACATTGCAAACAAAAATACGGCAAAAATCAAAAGCAAGAAAACGACGCCTCTCTCCGGGGGATGCACGCTCGACACGGCTATTTGGTAGTCAACTGATTCCCGAAAAATTCGGCATCGATTCAGGTGTATGACGACGTAGGGGGTGATATTTTGCAGAGGAGTTCTGGGAGCGGCCGGCTCGAAATGCCTCATTTTCTAGTCAGCCGGCTGAAGGCTGTCCGATAGGGTCAAGGGGCTGGTTGGCAGATGCTTCGGAGTGCAACGTGAGTAGGTTTTTTGCGGAGGAAGAAAGGGGTGGATGATCTCCATGGCCTGCTCGAGGTTGAACTGTTTGTATCCGAATTTTAGGAATTCAGAACGCTTGGCGTCTGTGACGTAAACGACATTTTTGCGGTTTTATCTGGCCGCCATTGTCTTACGTAACTTTTCATGGTAGATGGCATTTCCGGGCTAGCTGGAATGGCGTTATAGGTTCCAGATCTCTAGTATAAGCTCCTTGAAAGCTTTAGGTTTCGTTTTTTCTTTCCTTGGGCATCGTTTCAGGGCACGTAGTACGTATGCGCCTCACCTCGGTCTTTCTCCGTAAAGAGGTGTAAATGTCGTATTAACCGAAAGTGAGCATTCAAATGTGGATCAATCCAATACAAATGCTACATTGTCATATCCTTGCTTTGTGCAC